ACCAATCGTTATCACTTTCTATCACCCACCAACAATGTCCCCGTCCCACCCACATAACACTTGTAAGTATGGTTGCTCTGGTGTCAACGCGAGCCAGGCAACGGAATCGACGACTTTTGCGTTCTAGCGCATCTTATCAGCCATTATCAGTTGCTATCGCTTCCAATCATGTACCACCAATGTCCCGGGACCGGGGCACGGTCAACAGAATTGTTAGCTGAAAATTGAAAACGTTAAATTGTTAGCTGTCGCGCCGCCGCATGCGGCTAATCGTGCGGCGAGGGGGCGGAGCCTTCAGGACGAGTGTTGTCTATATCGACTTCTGAGTAGGATGGCGATCTTCATACTCTCTCTTTGTGACTAGTAGGATGTTTTACAGCGTGAAACTTAAAGTGGGTAGACTTACTCCTCCAAACTATGATGACCGTGCCTTTCTAAAATACACTGTTCATCATTTTAACCACCTGTGATTCAATATTATTTGTTCTTTGGTAATTGCAGAACTTAAGAACTGGAAATTCTTTCTTTGACACGGTTTCCCTAACCTATATATATCTTGAATTATTCATATCAAATTTTAACTAACAGATGTAAGTGGTTATTAATAAACGAAAGAACTTCTTTTCAGTTACCAAGACTTCATGCTCTTCCAACCACTCCTTGAAAATGAGTAGCGAGTACTACCCACGTGCTTACGAGGCAACAGAGCTGACGCTCGCTACTAGTTTCCAGTAAGAGTTATGTGGATGCTATGAACAAAAACTGTTGCATTAGATCATATACATATATTATCGCAACCTTGCGCTTTGAACAACGAATCGGAATGAAATCTACTGTCATTCACTGTTCCTGTTGCTTTTCCGAGCAATAAAGATCTTGTGTGACCCAGTGCAAAAAACAAGATCCTGAGGCGAAGCCGCCAGCACCATATGTCGTGACTTTCGTACGACTTCTACGCATATGGTACGCCGTCACGGTTCGCACTCTACATCCGACGCCAAGTCAGCCCACAAGCCATCTTAAAGGGCCGAGTCGTCAGGGTCCGCACTGGGTCTTCACGCGCACTAGTCGACGCGCAGGGAAGGATTGGCCCACGCCACTTTTGGGCCTGGAAGTTTCTACGAGTTCAGTCGTCTCCTCGTCGTCATCGTGAGTCGTCGTCTCTTCCTTCGTCCTGCCCGGTTGTTCCCCATCATCATCCCTCATCTGCCATCGCAGTGCATGGTACTGCCGTCCTTCGTCCCTCGTCCTTTGTCCCGCATCTGATTCCATCTCGAGCGCAGCTGTCACTCCAGCGCAGAAGACAATGGACGCAGTGGTATTCGCAAGACGTTCCACGAGCGCCGTCGTCCGTCCCCCGGACGACCCTTGGG